TAAATCTGCATGTGCAAGAAGAAAGACTACATGTTTAAGACAGTTTTGGGATTATGGTATTTGTAACCTCAGGAATTTAGAACCTTTGTCTTGCTAGAGACTGTTTCTCCCCTGTGGTTCAGAGATTAGCTGTTCACCTTTACACTCCATCCCTGTGTACTGGGCTCATAGGAAATGGCTGTGTTTTTTCTTTAATTATAATGCTTTGTTCCAGTGGGAATTTGGTTGCTGGCATGACACCTTTGGGTTCCAGTGGGAAAATGTGCGCCTGGGCCTTTGAGCAGTGTTTACTTTGGATTTCCTGCACACAGTGTCTTCTTACGTGATGGTCATTTGAATTCCTCTTCCCACAGGTGAAAGTGTCATTCCACACAACTCTGGAGTTACTTACATATCAACATTTGCCAGATACCCAGCTGCTTCCTGGATTCCAAGTGCTCCAGTTTGAGAACGGAGAGAGAAAGCTGAAGTTTAATCAAAATCTGGTCATTGAACACAGTAACCACACTACCCAGGTAAGATCAGAACGACAGGTCAGGGACTGTTTTATCAGCATCTCTGACTCAGAATGATTGTGCCTTAGGATTTACTCGGCTTTGAAATACAGCCACCTCTGGAGTAAATTGTGTCACCCAGCTGAAGTGAATGGCCATGAGTTTGCAAAAGGAGACTGTTGAGACCACAGGTGACTCTTTGATGCGCAGAGCGGTTTTGGGTCCACACACTGGTATTTGTGTCCCAGCTCTTTGCACGGCGTGATGGCCTGGCTGATATGGCTCAGTCAAAGGCAGCACACCCCACCACAGTAGGATGTGCGACGTCTTTCTGAGACGTGGGGTCAGGGCTGTCTAGGCAAACATGCCAGTGACTGAGTCATCAAGCATCACCTCCTGCAGTACCCGAGTGCTTCTTGAAAGTCTCCCAAGTCTGTCTAAAACTCATGCGGTGTGGTCGCAGCCCACACGCATTTAAAGACCGATCTCTTCCAGATGGAAAGCTATAACCAAGTCCTCGGCAGTTCCAGTACATTGCAGGCTTTTTTTTTTTTTTTTTAATACCAGGTATTTCTGAGGACTGATCTGTGTAAAATCTGAGCACCATATCTAAGATACAGTCAAATTATTAATAATCTTGGGCAATCTGCACAAATTGAATGACTCACAGAGGGCCATATACACTCCTAAGGGACAACAAGATGCTGTAATGTCTGCATCCCCACAGAAAACGCTAATAACAAACAAGCCATGTTACTTCATTAAGACCACAGTGTCTGGTTTGAAAACTTATCGCAGAACAGTAAAAGAAGCAACAATTTTATTCATTCAAATGGGGAGTTGATTCTGTTACAAAAGAACACAGCACAACTATTATTGATTCGGTGCTTGGGGTCAATAATGATCCAGCTGTAGCAGATATTAAAGCTCTACAAAAATAAGGTGGGGTACTTTTCTCCTTTCTCTTTCCTCTGTTTTGCAGCTGGTCCCAGTGACTGCGTACCTCACTGTTCCACTTCTGGAGCTCTCTTGTGACACGGTTGATTTCAAGACCTGCTTTGTTGCACAGACCAAGACTGAACATGTCTTCCTGTGTAATAGGAGTGGCTGTAGAAGTTACTGGACTGCTTTGCTGGGTATTCTCGTTTTGCAGTTGGATTTCCCTGTTACATAGTTTCGCTATTCCATGTTTTTATTTATTAAGACTGCACACACTCACTATAGAGCGAATATGTGATGATGTTGGCTGTTCACATATCTGGTCTGCTTCTGTTCTCAGTTATGTGGGCTTTTTCTTTTCTTCCCTTTCCCTTCCCCTTTCCCTTTCCTTTCCTCTTTATCATTGTATCTCTACTGTTTCAGGAGTTACTCCAGATTTAAACAAAAGATTGAACCACAACTGCCACAAGTAGCAGACTCGCTTTGCTGATTTATAACACAGTTCTAAGAGGCAACAAGAAGCTGTAGCTCCTCATGAGTTTGGTCTGCACTTGTGCCTGATGATGATAACAGATGGGCTTCAAAGGAAAGATCGGGGCCTTATCATTTTGAAGTGGAGGGCACTGACCACTTCCCTTGATTAAAGGATGAAACCAGACACTGGCCACATGCACAGAAAGCCTCTGGCAGTGCAAGACATGATTGATTAGTTGGCCATCAAGGAGATGCATTGGTTTGGGTGCTACATGCTGTATAAACTTACACCAAGGGTCTTGTATTGCTTTGATATTTGCCCATTTCACTGCAGATGAACAGGAAAGGCATAATGACCTGGAAGTATTTTCTGTCGCCCCTACTAATGGAATTTTGGAGGCACGTGAAGGGGATCCACCTACCAAAGAGATTTTGCAGATCAGCTTTACTGCAAGGTAAACAGGACTGAAATCTTGCTGTTATTTCCTGTCAGGCCTCATGTGTGAGTAGTCACTGAAAGCAAAGAGCAATTCTGCTCTGTTCTTGTGATACCAGGCTGCTCATTTTACTTCTAACACTTGCCAGTCCTGGGCATCAGCTGGTAATTTTTCCATATGACCATGTTCCCTACACTGCTCCCATATATGGGATTTCTTTTGGATTTGGCACACAGAATTTCAGACTGCAGATTTACCCACTCTCAATCATGCTGTTCCAACAGTTGGCATGACACACTGGCTGTGTGCCACTGGATAAAATCCCTTTCTTTAGGGCAATGTCTTGAACAGCGAGCAAAGCTCCAGCCTCTAATTCAGTGCAGAGGCTGATACAACAGTTGAGTCCTTCATGCATCCAGCACTTGATTAGGACAGAGGGAGAAGTGTGTCTGGAGTAGTTCAGAGTTCCAGTAAAGCACCCGTTTGTCATGCAGGGAAAGCGCAGTGTCTTTTGCAGTCAGTCTCAGGGATCCTTTGTTATAGTTTACGTGTCTTCTCTCTAAAAGAAACTTTTTGAAGTCCTTCCCTAAATGCATTCAGAGTACCACCTGATGAAGCAAGTAGAGCAAAATGTTTTTCTAATGCAGTGATAAGATTTGGTTTACCCTTGCTTAGCCTGGTGCAATGTTTAGTGTTACAGCCATGTTGATGTTTGATGAGAAAGAAAACAATGTATTTTTGTGGCCTCTAGTCCAAAGGTTTTCTACACAACAAAGATAATGTAAGCTGCAGGCAAATGACAGCAAAGAACAGAAGAGAGACGATGAAAATTCTCTTGTCCCATAAATATCTAATATTGTTCTAATTATGTTTATGGACATCTTGTCATAACCTTTGTCAAAGCTAGGAATTAGTTATGAATGGCAGTAGTGACCCAAAGCCTTTCATTTCTTTGCTCTAACTGAGGAAATGCAACTCCTGTAAAAAAATTCACCTTCCACTACAAATTATTTTCTTGGAAGTTATCACCCAGTGGCAGAAAGTTTATAAGGCAGACAGGTCCATGCCAGTATTTCCATAAACTGAACACTGTGGACAGAGAAGCAAACTATAGGTGACAGGAGTTGTACCTGCGATCTCCCTGGAACATGCTGTGAGCTCTCCATCACTGCAGTGACTGAACTCTCAGCAGCAGCTAGCTGTCCCTGCTTGGAGCAGCATCGTCATGGGCCAGAGACCTCCCCAGGCTCCTGACTGCCTCAATTTTTCTGGAGCACTTCTGAGTATGCCTGAAGCGCTGCTTTTTGTCTGACAGCAGATACACTCATCAGCATGCCTGAAAGTGCCTGGAAGTACCAGAAAGCAAAGATGTTGCTGTAGTGCAGCCAGCTCATCTGTTCAGCTCCAGACGAAGAACTCCCAGCACAGCAGAGCTCGGGCCCAGCATGGCATTAGTACATGCAAGGTGTGAGGTGATTTTTAATAATTCACCTCCCTAAATAAGTGGTCTTCCTGCAGGGGAATTGTGTACAAGAAAGGAAAAATAAAAGTTGTCTGGCAGGACAGGCTCTTGCCTCAGGCCTTTACACCAGCTGTTTCTTAGAGGCAGAGAAGTCCTTCAGATGCGCAGTCTCAGGAGCGTTTGGGTAGCATCAGCCCTAGGCGAATTACGCTGCAAGACTCCCACTTATCGCAAAACTACGCTTGCTGTAAGCTTTTTGATGTTCATTTACAACCAGGACTCTACTGACTGACCCTTGTCTTAGGGGGGTTGACAGAAACTTTTTTGTTTCAAACTGTCTGTCACAGGGAGGAGTTTTTACATCAAGGCAGTGCAGGCATTTGCTCCCAAACACTATCCCCCAGCACACCTTCATTTTATTTAACTAAAACAGAATTTCACAAGAGATTCAAGTTCTTCTTTCAAACATTAAGTTAATAATCCAATGTCTTCAGGTACAGACTGGACCACTTCAAACACCCTGTATGTAGCCGTGGGAGGCAACACTGCAGTGAATGGCCACCCGCAGACTCGACACTCATGTTAGATACAGTGCTTGTGACCAGAGCAGTTTGTGTCTTAGGGCACCATTTTCCCCTTTTTCCTCCGCAAAGTAACTAATCTCATCTTAAAACACAGAATTGCATCTAGCTGTAACTGAACTGTTCTTCTGCTCTGCATTTTAGGAGCGACATTGAATATGAAACTATCATGACCATTACTGGAACGCTGGGAGAGAAGCCTTGCAAGCTGCAGCTCAGGGGACGAGGAACATACGATGGGAAGTATGAAGACCTGTATTTAATTTAAGCAAGACCATGTGGGACAAACGTCAAGGTAATGGGTCGGATGCAGATGTGCCATCAGTTGAGCCTGTCTTTTTGTCTACTTCAGTTGTTTTAATATGGACTGGAATTTTAGCAGAATGAAATTTAAGTTATGAGGAAAAAAGCTCATGGTACTTTAAAGAAAACAGTCAAAACCTCATTCTGTGCTAGTACTTTTATTACTGTGATAAGCTTACCATTACCTACAGACCAGGCTCTGCAAAATAATTGGGTTTAAATTGCAAAGCAGCTTTGATAACAGCTAAGCCAAAACCCTTTCCATATCACAGTATGACTCAAATTACAAGACTGTTCATACCTTAAAAAGTAGTTTTTGTTTTGCCTTGTTTATTTGTTTGATATTAAAATGGACACTGACACATAATAAAAAGCAAGAATTAGTGAATAGGACAGTATTCCCAGGCTGTTTTCTCAGTGCCTTACGTGAAAAGGGGAAGCGCCAACTTTCCCTGGACTCCTTGGAAAATTACCAACCTGCATGTTTCATCATGCTTGGGTACTGAGAATATCCCCTTCAGTTACAGAGGGAGGGATCCTTCTTCTTTTTAATTCTTTCCCCCCACATGGTTCCTATTTACTCACGCTTCTCTTTAAATGTTTTTAGTATTACTTTAGCTAAAGGTCACTGAAATTCCCACTTCTGAGCCTTTTAAGTTTTCCACTCCCATCATATAAAGTTTTTGTTAAAGGCGGTGTGTGTGGGGAGGAAGGGGCTGCAATCCACACTGGAGGAGAACAAAAGCTGCACAATAGCTGCCTTCTACCTAGTTGAAAACAGACTTGTACTAGGACTGAGAACTCCTTTTACACACGAGAACTTCAGTGTGAAAAAAGGACCCTCAAAGATGCCAATACCTTTCTGCCACCTCTAAATAATCTAATCTTCTTGCTCTAAAATACAGCATGTGTGACAGCTGGGAGAATGAAACAGGCTACAGCACGGGAATGTGAGAACATCACATAGCACTAACTAATCCTGACCTTCAACTAACAATCATCATAAAAAGAAAACAAATATATTCCAAGAACCCAATTGTATTACTGAGTGCAAAAACAAGAGTCAGGACAAAGAACCTCAGTCTGTGTTACAAATTTAAACTTTTCTAACATGTCAAAGACCATGAGTACATTTCTTTTTCGAGCTGTTAGCTCTCAGTTTCAGTAATCTTTCTGCTCCTAAGAGAGAGAACATAGAAGGGAGAACTTTACAAGATGAAATGCACATTTGTATTAGTGTTTAGAAGTACTGAGGTGTCACTGATGGTCAGGTAGTGCCTGCAGTAAGAGTAATGCTGAAACATGTTTTGTGTTAGGTAAGTAAATATTATTAAGCATAAGCTTGTCCTCTAAGTTGGAGTCACACAAGCTGATAGCTAGAAACACACTGTAAAAGATGGAACGGCCACCTTCAAATTCCTGGCTCCTGGCACTTCAGCAGAACCGTTCTTTACAGGCACCTCCTGTGTAGGACATTCTCGTCCTTCCATCTTCCCCTGCTGGAGGCATCAGAGCAGCTTGGTTAAAAGTAAAAAGCTACAGCACATCCCCCAGCACGGCAACAATTTCAGACATAGCCAACTTATGACGTGGAAAGGACAGGCACAGTTGTGAAGGAAATGATGTCAAGTCTTCGCACTGCTTTCAAAACAAGCTGGTTCTAGACTTTTTGAAAGATGGTGAAATCTTTCAAGAAAACCCTGGAAAGGCCTTTTCATGTGCACTGATATTTTTGTTCTGAGCAACCCTTTTAGACAATTTGTCATACAAAAACACTGGACCATGAGCTATTTCTCTCTAATAATATTCACAGAATAAAAGGATCGATTAAACTAGAAACATTCATTCATAATCACCACACAAGGGCCTGTAGTTGAACTTTAGCTGAACTAATTTCTCATGTCAGGATGCTTTTTAACTCTGAAGCAAATACCAATTTTGTATTTTCTCAACTGCATAGTAGATTTGTATGATTTACTCTGCTTCATAATTTGTGCCTAAAATTTGTAGATCTAGTAACAAATCCCTGAATCCAGTTGATTTCACAGTGTAAACTATTTGCTGTTACTAGTGAAGGCAGAGAACTAGCTGTTGTGTGGTTTCATCAGCACACTGGAGTTTAGTTTCCTGGGTACTCAAATACTGCTGCAGCGCCCATGCCAGTTCCAATGCACATTGACACAACACCATAGGCTCTGGAACAAAAAAAAACCACATGGAATTAAGAAAAAGAAAGACCAGGTTTAGTCATCTAACACAACAAAGAGTACCATAAATTTGAGCTACCCACTGCTCTCCTGTGTCACCAAGAGATTCTGACTCCAGAGCAGGTCCTGGTGCCCTAGAGCTCTTGTGGGGTGGTGTTTGCAGAGCACGGGGACACATGTTTCTCTCTTCCTGCTTTGTGGAGACAAGCAGTGTGCCAGAAGCAAGCTCCTTAGCCACCGGCCTCGGCCACGTCAGCAGCAGGGTCAAGCTAGAGCTGCTCTGATTCAGATGGGTTGAGGATGAAACTTCCTTTCCTGCCTCCTGCCACTGCCCTTCACCTGGCTTTGCCATGTAAAAGTTCAAGGTAAATTTGAATAGTCAGATGACGTGCAGCAGGATTTGTAGAAAAAGAGCAGAAAAGCCTGATTTCAGAGTGAGTTCTTCCACTTCAGTTCGAGGTGGTTTGAAGTTTTTGACTGACTGGCTTGGTATTTAACAGCTTCCCATCACTGTTATCCTCCCCTCTGGGCCAGGGCACAGCTTGTCCTGAGGTGCCAGTCCAGTGACGCTGTGCCAGCCCCGATGGGAGCAGTGGCAGAACCAGCCAGCAGCAGTTACAGGGTTTCTTCCATACATCAGGAAGAGCCCAAGTGCTGAGCAGAGAGCAAACCCTCGCAAAGCTGGATGCAGCCCAGCCCTGCAGAGCTCCCACTGCAGACACGCTGCTCTAACACTGCGCGCGGGAGGCGTCTACCCCAGGGCCCTACACCACCAGGGACCCGCGGGGACTCGGTGTTCATGGGCAGTGAGACACTGCACAGCCCTCCCTGCAGAGAGCCACGGGGAATTCACACGCAAAGCTATCAAAGGGATGGAGAAAGCTTCACCCAAACCGATGGTTACTTCCAAGCCTATGTTACTTACACACGCGTAAGGCATGGAGGCTAACACTGTTCCTCAGAGCTCACCTTCTCCCTCTGCGCTTCAATTCGTTGAGCAAAGTCACCACTTGACGAGCACCAGTGCAGCCCAGTGGGTGCCCCAGTGCTATTGCTCCTCCCAGGGGGTTGACCTTCTCCATGGGAATGCCCAGCTTTTCAACACAGTACACAGCCTAGAAAGACGGAGGGAACGGGTTCATGGAGATGCTCTCACCTCCGTTAGTTCTCAGCTCTCCTGCAATGGAGAGCTAAGAGGACTGCAGAGGAGGCTGGTGATCTCGTCTGTATATGAAGAGGGACAGCAAACCATCCCAGGCAGCTCTAGGGACTTCAACAGATTTGTGCTTAAAATGAATTTAGCTCTAACTATGTTTGTTATTACACAAACTCCGCATCATTGTGTCAGCTCTCTTAAGGCATTAGGCAGTTAGTACTTGGGGGCCTGACTCCAGCTAGATCATCTTTTCCAGGGGAAAGGGGTGGAACTATTTTACAAATCCCAAGCACACAGAAGAGAGCTAAGCCTGTCAACTACATCTCAAACTGAGCCAATGTCCTTTCTGACAGGCATGTCAGAGATTTGTGGGAGACACAGCAGCGAAGTTTCTACTTTTCATTAAGGACTACCAACACACACTGACACCACCCAGTAACAAATTACAGCCCTTGTGAAACAGATTTTGCAAGCTGGTTTTAGGATACGATAGTAAAGATTACATTCAGTGGACACATTTTTCCATTGTTTTAAATATTAAGCTGTATAAGCAATGCCTTGCTTATTTCTGTTTGAAGGAAAGGGAATACAGTCTGCACATGTTATTAACATTTGTCTGAAGATGTAACATGTGGAACAAGTTAAAATCTTAATTTGAAGACCAAGCTGAAATACTCTCAGCTACTGAGCAATGTAGCAACTCAGACAGGATGTTCACTCACTCACCTGGCTTGCAAAGGCTTCATTAATTTCATATATATCAATGTCATTCAGAGTCAGACCTACAGTTCAAGAAAGTCAGGATTTAGAAGGAGATATTTTTGCCTTATGACTATACCAAAGAGAGTAATTCACTCACAGCCCCCCTTTATGAATTCTAGTTCTACTCCACTAATGACAAAAAGAGGGCGACCTTGGCTCCATGTGGGGAGTCTATACTTGTACATGTTTATATACAACATCTGAAGACTGCAAAATGCCACAGTTCGTGGTATTTTGTCACTGAGTTTGACAATTTTCCTTAGATCAAATGTTATTTTTTTGTAGAGAGATCAAAGATTGAAGGGTATTTCAAGACTGAAAGGCAAAACTACAGGTGATCACGCAACCATAGCAATGACGAATGGACACAACAGTAATCATCAGCTATAAAAGCCATTTAACCTGATGAGTGTGCTAAGAACCCCAAGAAAAGCCTGTTCTGCTGGTCAGATAACAAAATTGTAAAGAAAAAAACTAAAGACCAAACACAAAACCCACACGCTGCTCATTATTAGGGAAAACAGCACCAAATGAACACGGAATTACTTGCCACATGTGAACTGCTGAGACTGTGCAGGGATTTAATCCTGAGCTTCTCAAAGGTGAATGACAGTTTATACATAAGTACAAGTGAACAGCATTACAATAATCCCATCTGAGATCTCTTTAAGGATTTAAGTTCACTGTTCCTACGGCTGATAGCTGCACAAGCTAAATTTCAGCCACAGAGTCTGATTTGCCTTGTGCCAAGTTCTTACCTGCCTTCTCCACAGCTACAGGGATTGCATAGGCAGGTCCTATGCCCATAAGGTCGGGTGGGACTCCAACCACAGCAAAGGACCTGAGCACCCCCAGGACTGGGAGTCCCAGCTGTGCTGCTTTTGAGCGTTTTGCCAGGAGAACAGCAGCTGCTCCATCACTGACCTGGCTGGCGTTACCTGTTGAAAGAGATGTATTAACACCTTTTTTGTCTAAGCAGATTCTGTTACGAGGCAGGTAAACCGCAGGAACAACACAAATATAATGAGAGCTGACCTGCTGTAGTGCTACCATCTTCTCTGAAGGCAGGCTTCAGCTTTGCCAAGCCTTCCAGGGTCGTGGAGGGCCTAATTCCTTCATCCTGGTGCACGGTGATTGTTTTTTGGTTGCCCTGATTATCTAGAACAGTGGTCTTCACTGGAACAATCTCCGTTTTAAACAGCCCCATCTGCTGAGCTTTTGCTGCTCTGTTAAAGAAGAGCATGAAAGGTTAAAATATTCTGGAGGTGAATTGAACTAATGTCAAGGAAACCAGTTAGTAAGGGAATGAACTTGGTACACAGGTACATCATCAGTGAGCAGTGGACGACAGGCTAATACTTATTTCCATTCATGGGAAGACAAACTTCTTACCTCTATGTTATGGGAAGTATATCACTAACATTAGGGGCATTATCCCCAAACCTGGGTCACAGGATCACACGCTTTGGAGCAAGATCCCCGTTCTGTTCCCATTAACACCTTTGTGACTGACCGACCACCACCAGCCCACAGCACGAAGCTGTACTTGTCCAGTGATACAACCCCTTTGCAACCGCAAGAAAATAAATGAATCCTAGTGTTCAAACATCAGTTCTTAGTTTGCAGTTAAACAGGGAAAAGGGGCTAAGCCTCCACATAATGCTAATAATTTCTGACAAGGTAGGGAATGGCTAAAGTTTGACTCATTCCTGTGGTTTTGTCCTACTAAAGATAAATTGAGCTTTAGACCACAGGCTTCAGGTATAATCTTGTGGCGTTTAAATGTAACCTTTCAACCCAAAGTTACTGCAATGTATGTTGCACAGTTCAGCGTGACTACATAGAAGGGTATCACTTAATTTAGCAGTAAAGGTGCAGTGAAGATTGGATCTGGTCCCCGAGACAGCAGTAGGGAACAACTGACACAATCACAGTGATCTAAGTAGGCAGAATGAAAATAGCTAAATTAGAATTAGCTCAGGGCACATAGTTTTAATCTTTCCTATCAACAATGTATTTTAAAAGCCTCCACAGTAGAGCTGATTTAGAAGATTTACCTTCCAGCAGCAGAGCACCCTTTACAGGGAATACGACTTGGAGACTGAAAACCTGTTTTACCCCCTCACCACTTTACACTTTTACTAATGAAATGGAAATATTTAATACTCCCAGGTAAGCAAGAATTAGTGCTGAAAGACAGATCAGTAACTCTGCAGACATCCTGAGACCGAGGCCAGAAAATCACCCCCTTCCTCGTGCGAGAGGCGAGGATCGCGTTCACATACCCTTTTGTGTTATCAGTTCAGTGTCAGTGAGAAAGGCTGGCATGCCAAGTTCCCTAAGAAGCAGGGCCAGAATTTAAAGGTTAACTGGCCAGGGCAGTGGCTTCCTGTATTAGATAAATAATTGGACCAGGGTGATGCTTAAACAGAGCTCTGAAAGTCAGTTTAACTCTTTGATGGCAGCAACTTTAACATATCACCTGCCACTGGACTGCCAGTGCAGCCCCATGGATTCCGGGGTCAGCTGACTTTGACAGTGACTTAACCTAAAAGGAAGGTAGGATTGGACTCACTTGGAGTCAAACACCTGCAGCCAAGACAAGGCACTCTTCTCACAGGCTTGGCAGTTCTCTAGAAACAGCTCCATGTTAATACTCCCTCTTAGGAAAGATTCGTTCTGCTGCCACTCCCATGTTCAGTTTCAAATGATACGGAGCCAAAGCCACTATGAAAACACCGCACCACACACTCGTTTCAGAAACCTCTCAGAGGCTGTTGTATCCTCTGGGTGCTGAAGAACACAGGGGCGCTTGCTGCTGAAGGCTCGCATGCCCGATGATACATGCACTCAATCAGTCACACAGTCCCCAGTCCAGCTCTGGACTCAGGTTTCCTTACCGCACAGCCCGGACACGCACCACTCTTCGCTCTGACCACCTCAAGCTTCTTTACTCACTATTAAGGTTTGGAAGGCAGCACGAAGGCTGCACTTAACCACTCTTGGGAAGTAGCAGGCAATTTTCTATCTGTATTTACTCCTTAACTAAAAGGTTTAAAAAATATATACAAAAAACACATTTACTTTTGTTGGGAAGCCAAGGCAAAGGCATCTTGCTTCTTTCGGGAAACTCCAAACTTCTCTGCCACATTTTCTGAGGTTATTCTGGGGAAAACAGAAATCACAGAATTAATCCAACACCACAGCTAATGGAGCTGGAGTTGGCAACACAAGGTTTGAGCGGTGGCTTCAGTCTCAAAGCTAACTGCTGCCTTCTCGATCTAGAACGGCTTGGCAGAAGCAGATCTTGAATCAAATCACGAACCAAAACAAGGTTCAAATCCCCCCATCACGTCTTTGCTCATTAAGCCACTGAGCTCAAGACATAAGACAAGGAAATCTCTCATCAGTCGCTGATTTCACACAATTCATCTTCTACCACAAGCAAGGAGGATGCCAACACATACATATCCAAGCTCACTGCATTCAGGTTGATTTGAGGTCACTGAGGAGACAAGCCATCTAGAAGAGCCTTATACTTTGGGAAGAGAAAACACTTACCCCATAGGAATAAGGCAATCTCGAGCTTTACTGTTTTCCATCAAACTGGAACTGATATCACCAGGGTTATTTGCACTTCTGAGGGACATCGTTTCCACGCTAAACACAGGAAAAATTTGAATTTGCAACCTATGCCTTCATACTACATTTGTGGTAACTGCTCCATTGAGACTGATGGAAACTCAGCATCTTGACAACGCACTTTCTTATCACCCAGCTAATAACTACGAACTGGCTGAGGCAGTTCTGCAATCATCAATATAAGAACTACCACGAAATGAAAACTGATTTCTAGATTAAATTGGTCCTTGTTTCACTAAGAACAGGATACCAACGTCAACAGTTAATTTCTTGGGTTTCCACAGCTAGGAAGGAATTGCTAACGATTCTGGCACTTCTGTCCCCAAACATAACAAGAAACCTAAGGTCCTAGGACCGGAGTTTCCAGTGAGATTGTCAACATCCACAAAATGCCAGGAAGTATAAAGCAAGCCATGACAAAGAGACTTCTGTGAGTTACGCCATTTGCATTTCACAACACAAAGAATTTAAGACATGGATCCCAGAGGCTGCAGTCTTTGACCTACAAATGAGCTAAAGGATTAAAGATATCCAAATTTACTGCAGAAATATGCAGCCATCACTGAAGACTAGTGAGCTTTTGTAAAGTCAGTCTAAACCACGAAGCCTGCGATGGGAAGAGGGTTAGAATTCTACTCTGCACCACACAAATACACTCATGAAAAGTAAATAACACAGAAACTATTGCTGGAAAACGCAAGACAAGCAGAAAGTAAGTTTATTCCCCAGGCTTATAGTTTAAATTCCTCATAGCACTTACTAACTCTAACACGGAACACTGCGTTACTTGACTTCAGCTGCATCTACTCCCTGAAGGAAGGTATAGAATCAGGTTTTAAGTAAGAACAAACCACAGCTACTGTGTTTTGTGTTGTCATCTAGTATCTCTCTGCCTACGGAGTGGGAGAGTTCACTCAGGGGCAGAGCATGACTTGGGATAAACCCAAGTCACAAAAGCTATTCATAATTTATGGATTTTAAGTCTTCATGGAGGACCCTGCAGAATAGATGCCAGAAAACCTCCCACTATGACACCCAGTGATTTGCACACCCGAAGATGCAAAGGCTGGATGCTAAACCTTTTGAGCTTTTCAGTACCGTTAAGTGCATCATTCTGGTGGACATGGCCAAGCAACTCTTGAAACGAGTGTGCTAAAGAGAATAAGTGAAAAGCATCATGTGTTCAAGCACAAGCATTTCCTGTGAACACTAAGTGCTCTGCCTACATCTGAGGAACATGCCTGTCTTGCTGAGCTGTTTCTTTTGCAGCAGTCTAAAGAAGGAAAGGGCATTCTCAACATCAGCTCTTGCTCACCAGGTACATGCAGGTGTTGAGAAGCTGTAAATATAAACATGTTCCTAAGGACTACCAGATGACTGTGTATAGTTATAAGTCAGGAAAGACTTAAGAGTTACCAAGGTATAGAGAAACCCAACATTTTTGACTCAGGATTACTGAATACTTGGTTTGAATTCATTTTTCTGAAGTGAATATGTATGTGGTCACTAGCATTTCTCCAAAGCCAACCTAACATTTACATAACCCTCTAAAGAAATAAACGCTTCTTAGGACATTAGGACTGAAGCAAAGAACAGCATGCCTGTCCACTGCAGAACATCTGTAAGTCTGTAGAACAGATATTAGCATGGGTAAGACATTAATTTCTTTATCCAAGATCGCTGCTAGTCTTCTAAGACACTAGTTAATTGGAGATTAGTTATAAAGCTAATTATGGCAGGCTTTCAGGCTGTCAGAGCTCTACACACAAGTGGCATCCTACAGCAGGGCCAGAGGACCCTAATAAAACAGGCTTTTTGCTTGCTTCTAAGAGATACTCAGCCTCTTATTGCAACCCCAGCAGACATGTCACCAAGGCCAAAACTTCCAGGGAAATTAAAGGACTTTTAAGCACCCTCCCTCAGACCCTTTAAGATGACCCAATCTTCTGCAAAAGTACTCAGCAGCTTCTGGTAATACACAAATTGAATTCCACCACTTAAATTTAGGTCCTAATTTTATTCACTCATTTGTCAAATGAGGACAGCATCTATTTCCTTGAGGGGAACAGAGCTGGTTGGAAGTGATTTATAATTCCTCACACAAAACTATTGCAGAGGGACAGAGTGCGACCTTCAGGAAGCCTAAGCAAGTACCACAGAAAGACTTTCTTACCCACAGGCCAAGCCAATGTCATAGGACCCATTTCGGATGCCACCTGTAACAGCAGTGCATAAACATTCTTACTATCATTAGGAACAAAAGCACTTCCATTTCAGCTGCAGTTTCATGCACACCTGAGACACATACCACAGCCAAACAGGACAATCCCTCTGCCCTACTGCCTGCCAGAATGTGAGCCAGGTGAAGGAGATGATGAAGACTAACTGTGACCTGACACACAAGCAGATAGGACAGGAGCAACCCTTCTAGAAGGTGCCTGATGTGGAGGTGATGGTAGAACTCATCCTCAGAAAAACAAGTTACTTCTCTAAGGGTAAACTTGGCCACTGGAGAATATAAAAGCATTCAACCAACAACACACTGAAAGTTCCTAACAGCAGAAAACATTATAACTTTTTTACTGCTCAGAGAGATTTGAGGACAAGAGAAACAAGCACTTGAGGCAGGCTAGGCATTGACTCCAATCCAAGTGCCCCTAACACTTACCAGCTATATTGATAATGGCCTGTAGCCCAGAGGAGCACTGCCGGTTGACACTTGAGCACGGCACCGACTCTGGAATACCACTAGAAAATAAGACAGTGTTGCACAGACTCAGTGACAAATACCACACAACAAAGCAAACCTCTAATGAGAGCATTAAGCCACTTGGTTAAACTTTAACCCTCAAGTTCAAGACAGATCCTGTTATACATTTGTTGACCTATTTAGTCCTGCACTAAGAGAAAGCAAAGTTCACAGAATTTCCACACTTGATTTGAAAGCGGCTCTGAATGCTGTTTCCCCACAGGTACAGATCCTCCGCAACCAGGGCCCTCTCATCTGCTCTAGTTCCTGGGGGCTAATCAGGGCCAGGAATACTGAAAAGCTCTGCAAAATTCGTCATTACTGGTGTCCTGTGTCTGCACCTCTCCAAAGTGGCAGTTGTATGCTGATTTACACAAGGAAACATCACTCAGCAGTAGACACTGGCTGAACTATTTGAAAGCTGGAATCCAGCTCAGTATGAGCCACTGACATTCAACTCCGCAAAATGAACAGAAAGACTTGAGATAACTCCATGGTTTTGGGACCAAGCAGAGCCAAGAGAAGCACAGCCTTGCAGTATGGAGAAGCAACAGGTGCAGCTGGGAGACCACAAAACAAGATCTCTTGTTCAGAGGCTCAACACAGGCAGCACAAATGGATTAAACAGCCTCACCTCTGCCTCCCTGTCCCTTTGCCATCAGGTTCTCCAAACACTAATTTCTAGGCAAAGTCTAATTTCTAGGTAAAAGGTGATCTGCTGTAACTTCCTGGGAGTGCATCAGCCTCATCACAACCTCTGACTCAGTGCTGCTCTGTAGCCAAGGCCTGAGAAGGAGAGCAAGAACCTTGATCTGGTTGAAAGTTTACCTTAGAAACTGCGCAACTCTTGCAATCAAAGCGCCAGCTCCAGGCTGCAACACGTTTCCTGAGTGCAAAGATACGATTCCAATCAATCGGTTGCATTTTCCTTGTTATCTGCTGCAGGCATTGAAGGGACATTAACATCACCGCAGCTTGGTATCATCCAGCCCCCAGAACAGCCCCGCCACGTGACAGAACAGTTGTGAAAGACGCACTGAATTCATAAATCTAACTCTACAAGTTAAGCCCTTCCAACCCCGTGATACTTGCAAGTGTCCCAAGGGATAGCAGGAGCAGCCTGCCCCAGACAGCTATACAGACCAGGAGTTTCAAGTCCGGACAGAGGTTGTTCACTCACCCACACAGATGTCTCCCAGGGCCTCAGGATGGAGATTGACATCTTGAAGGACAGCCGTCATAACGGCAGACAGCAATTCATCGGGTGTAGTATCCTAAAAGCACAGGGGATTAGCGCTACTCAGTGAACACCGGTAACTGCCCTGTCGCCAGTTCACCCTCAGACTACTTCAGAGTGCTAGCGTTATGATGCTCAGGCAGCTTTACTCCACCTCTCAGCTCTCAATGGTTGTTGTTTTTTTTTACAAAAGCATTATTACTCTGCGCATTTTTACCCCAGGTAAGAGGTACCTCTTGAGTGCGTTAACACGCTGTGTTCTTACCTAGCTGGGTTTCATATGAGCACACTCAGTAGGGCTTTCAAAACCGAACAACTACAGCGAGTTATATGACAAGACTTGGCAAGCAGAGCCCCTCCATTTGTGAAAGAAACAAGGTTGACCCCTCAGCTGGTGGGAAGCACCACCGGCACAACAAGACCTATTCTGAAGGATGACAAGCAATGATCCTGGCACCACGTTCATGCCTTGGTCAGAGCCCCGGTGCTCTACGATTGCCACCCAGTGAGAAAAAGGTCGCTCCAGAAGAAGGGTGGCACGTCCACACCGAGGAGCGAGCTGGGCAGGAGAGGGAGATGCTGCTTTTCTGAGTGGTTGCTCTGTTCAACCACAGCAGGTAACAGCAGCGTGGTAGAGACCTACCCCAGGCTTTATGGGGAGCTGGGAAACTTGTCGGTGCATTGCCTGGCTTTTTTGAGGGGATGCCTACTGTCCTGCCGCACCTGGGCCACGCACCCCCTGACATCAGAACCACCAGAAAATACCTTTTAGACCGTTTATAAAGCAGAGCCCCGATCCTGGGCCGTGGCTGGGGAGGCAACAAGCAGGCCCAGCACCTGGAGGGGAGGCAAGCGGAGGGGTCCCCAACTCCCCGCGGGGTTGCTCGGCAGCTGGGGGGGGGGCCTCAATGC